AAGGTCTTTTTTAGTTAAATTCCAAAGACTATGTCGAGCATGTTCTTTATGGAATTGTGACCATAAATCATGAATTGCTTGATGCACATCTCTACTAGGGTGCGTCCCAAGAGTTAATAGAAAATTATCTAAGGACCCGTTACTCAGACCATCTTTAATGAATTGTATTTTATCTCCACGGTTTATAAATATCATTCCTAAATAACTGTATTTTGCATTATAAGTCCACCTGGCATATCTGTGATAGACTTTCAATCATTATGCATGATGTTTCTTTACAAAAGTACTTTTGCTTGTTCCAGACATGTATGAAATGAAATAATTAGCGGACTCATTGGATAATCGTACCTTTGCTTCAATTAGCTAGCGAATATCTTCAGGAACTTCATGGTTCATTAACAATCTCAATCTTTCACACATAGCATGGTCAATTTTTGCAATCGCATTTTGAAGCAAAGCGGGAAATTTTTTTTTCAAATTTTCAAGAATGGCGTCCATTTTCAAATAAGAATTGGAAAATAGATGTAAAGAAAAGAGAAGGAACAAGGAATTGAACAAATATATACAAAAATATTAGTTATCATTGGAAATTGAAAGAACTGATATAAGAGTCATGGAGTACCGTTTTTCTACCATTTGATTGGGGTTAGAGAAAGAATAGCAAAACAAAAGTCACACCAAAAAGAAACACAACTATAACATGAGAAAAAACAAAATAATCAACCTTTATATACAGCATCATTTAAACCAATGGATTCATTTTCACTAGGAAAATGATCAAAGTAAGCTTTCAAACGATGTCCTTTTACCTTAAAAACATTGTCATTCTTTGGATTCTCAATACCATAGGCCTTATATAGAAAGGACCGCTTTATCTTGATCTTAGCTTTTTAGGAAATAAGTGGAGTTGAAAATTATAAAGCAAAATGTTTTGACGTATAACAACTTTTTAACAATTTTTACAAGTTGTGCAGAATGCATACATGTCCTTGAACATAGTGGGCTAATAAAATCCACATTGTAAAATTTTTGCAGTAATTGTTTTAAAGTGAAATGATCCCTATATACCTTAGAATGACAAAATTTAATGACACTACTTACCTTATTATAAGGAATTCATCTTCAAAATATTTGATTAGAACAATATTTGAATAAGTAAAGGTCATCTCAATAAAAGCTCTTTGTTTCATTCAAAACCTTTTTTTTTTCTTGGGTACTCTAGTGAGCTGGCATATATCCTATAGCAAGAAAGTTGACACAATTAGTGAACCAAGGTGTTAGAGAAAGTAAGGATTCATTAGTAAAGTACTTATCGATAGGTGTGATGTCGGATATCAAATTATTGTCACTCTTGACAAAAGATATAGGTGTGATGTCGGATATCAAATTATTGTCACTTTTGACAAAAGATCCGCATCAATATTTTTAGTACTTTTCTTATCCGTGATTTTTTTTTTCGAGAATAAATAATTTACAAATCTTTAGATTCACCAAACTCAATTTTACTCAAATTATATTCAAGTTAATGATAAACTAATTCTTCAACAAGATTTACTTCTAGTAAATCATTATCATCTCTAGGTTGCTTGTAAATGTTGAAAATATTCATCTCTCATGCAATATTTGCTCAAGATTTCTTTTAGGAGGTGGAGCATAAAGAGGTGCATGTCCATGAGAATTTTGAAAATCATGGTGTGCTTGAAATGATAGCTGTGAAGTTTGTGTATTATTATTAACACTTTTCCAACTGAAATTTGGATGATTTCTCCAACCAAGGTTGTATGTTTATGAGTATGGGTTATAATTGGGTCTTTGAAAACTGTTTACAACATGGGATTGTTCATGGAGGCATTTCTTGAAAGAAGATAGAATTGGACAATCGTTGGTTGAATGTTTATTGGTTTCATAGATTTGGCACATAATATCTTGAAAAAAATTTTAGTTGACCACTCATTTTTAATTCTAGTACCTCAACTTTTATAGCTAAAGATGCAAACTTTGCTTGAAAGTCATAATCTTCTCTAAGGTTGTACCTACCTCTACTACATATATGAGGTTGAGTTTTACTCGGTGCCTTATAAATATTTGTAGTGTCCTAATTTCAAGTATTTTTAGCTAACAACTCTAAATACTTCATTGTTTCATCAGGGTTTTTATCTTCAAAAATTTCATTTCACATCAATTCCATAATTTGTCTATCTTTAGGTGTTAACCCTCTATAAAAATATGAAACTGACACGACCAAAGATTTGATGTCTTCTTCTAAGTGTAGAAGTGTCGAAGTAATAAATAATTCGGCAAAACCGTGGTCGAACGACAGGGAGGTTAATTGTATAAACTATAAATAAAAAAAATAGATAATAACAGAAAAGGAGTTAAAGAGAGCTTTGAGATGTGATATAGATGTAAGGATTAAACAAGGATAACATTATTGTCAAGGTTAGAGGATTCACTAATGATATTTCAAACAAGTATATTATAAATTTCTTTTATTACTCAACTAGAAATCACACACAAAGGAGGTTTCAATCGGATTATAAATTGTTAACATGATTACATTAATTATCTTATTTAAATAATGCTAATACTTGTAAATGTTGTCAAGTATTTATGATTATAACTTATGTTAACAACAAATCAAGTTCTTTTCATAGCACAAGTGTCGGTTATACCATACGGTTGGGCTATGAAAGTGACATGTATTTGTTATACCAAGGGTTATACAATATAAATCTAGATTAGTCATTTAATTAGCAAAGTATTGAGAGTGAATAAGATAACAAATACAAAACATGCTAGTATCAAACATTCAAATCCATGTTGAGTTTATATTATACTTATTCTTACACTATTAATATACCATTTTCACCTTAACATGATAAACTTAGCTAAACATAATGAAGAAGAGAAATATAGATAAACAACATAAGAATATAAATAAGATATAAGTTTACTAAATAAAGGAAAGGAAATGAAAAGCATAGACAAGAGATTAATATAAACAAAACTTAAGCATTACAATAAGAAAGAGCTAAGTCATGATCTTGATTTGAAAACCAAGATACTTAAATAAAAAGGCAAATGCCTCCTTTTATAGGCCAAAATTTAAAACTATTGATTTGTTAACTAATTATTGAGTGGATAACCATATCTTGACTTTGTGGCAATCCTTATCTTCTTGTTTAACAAAACATCATTGTTAATATCAAAATTTGAATAGATTTTATAAAAGCTCTAGAAAATTATCTTAGTTTTCCAAAAAAAAGAAGAAGCTCATTTAGACTTATAGAACTTAAGATATAGGCTGAACACTAAACAATGTATGGGCTGCAAGATAGATTCGGACTTCTCTGTTGTTGCTATAATTTGAATTTAAAAACTGCTTTTTTAAATCTTGGGCTCCGCATAAAAGTTTTAGGCCTATGTCTTAGCTTTCCATTCATATAAAGCAGACCTAAATTCAAGTTCTACAGCTCTATTTATGATCCAATGACAAAATAGTGTTCTAGTTTAGACTAAACTAGCATCTCTTTTCTAAGCTTGGTCCCCTTCCTGTTTTATAAATTTTAAAAGTTAAACTCATCAATCAAGCTCATCCTAAATAGAAATGAATCTAGAGAGCTACCAAATCAAACAACTTTGGGTTCAGTTATAGACATGGGTCTGGTAAGCTCTCAGACCCAACATCCTTAGGTTCAATTATATGTTGAGCCCAAATAATCATGGATTTGATGAATAGTCAGTCCTAACTTCCTTGGGTTCTACTATGTGTTGAGCTTAAGGAAATATGAATATGGTGAGCTGCCACACCCATTGCTCGTGGGCTTGGCATTATGCCTAACCTGAATAGGTATAGGTCTAGAGATCATTATAGGCCCCATATTAAGCCATAAGACTTCATTTGTTTATTTTTGTGAATTTTAACATAAAATATTAATGTCAATGATATTCATCTCCCTACATTCCTAGGTGTATAAAAATCTTCTAAATACCTATCATATTTTCATTACTATTAATATTGTGTAAGAAATATTTATCCCTTATTAATATTATATAAGAGATATTTTCCTTTTATTTATTATTATATAAGGGATATTTATTTCTCAGTAATGTTATTAGGAGGAAAAGACTCTTTAACCCCTCCACTCTAGCAAAATAACAAGGTTCATGAGTTATAATTACCCCTCAAACCATCCAAGTGAAAGGTGTACATTATTTATTCTCTATTGCATATATATTTTCTGAGTATATCTTTTTAAAATACATTGCATTATTTCTTTATAAGAATATTTACTTATTTTGGCTTTGAAAAATAGAGTAATTGTAAGAACCAGGTGATAAACTAATTTATCTACTTATAAAAACTTTATTCTTAAGATATCATCACCTATAAAAAAATGAATTTAATATGTCAATGAAACTCAATTATATTTAACTCAAAATTGTTTTACTTAATAATTGGTTTCAAACCATGTTATTCTTTCCATGTGGTCTGCATGCAATTATATATCAGACAGCAGAAAAGATAAAATGATTATCTATAAAATATATGTTTCTGGTCGCTAACTATAAATCTCTATCCGTAAAATCTTGTGGTGTTTGATCACATTTCGTAATTAATTAGGAGATATCTTTTCTTGTGTATATTGTTCAAGGGCCAAACTTAGCCATTTCTTGATAAAAAAAAATAAAAATTCGAAATGACCGCACACACACGTTAAAAATTACCTTGGAGGTGGAGTAAGCCAGGTCGAATTTAGAAGAAGACGTGAACTTGAAGGTCGAATCCATGGCCAAAGTGCTTTTGAAAAGCTAGTAGAGCCGCACTGAAACTGCCCCTTTTGGTTGATAGCAATACTGATTCAGTAGATATATGGTTATAGAATAGTGTTGATGTGCAGCAAGGAATAACTACATCTACAAGCCAAGTAATGAATATTCTAGCCATGTACTACTACAAGTAGCGTTGAAATTGAGAAGAAAGCCATACTGAAAAGTTTTTGATGAGAGAACAGATCATGAGGAGATATCCTAATAGCAAGTCACTTTTCTCATCATCATCACTACCGCTGGGGTCTTCTCCTTTTTTGGTCCTGTTAGTTGTTTTACCTTTGATTGTGATACCAGTATTCATTTTTACAAGCTGTCTTAAGACCTCTTCTTGGTCTAACTATTCCTTGCCTTCTCCATTGACATGGAGAGTTGGTTTCTCTGATAAATCCTATACCTTTGCTTCTTTTGCACAATCTGAAGCCTCTGTTGTAAGTTATAATACTTCCACTTTAAATTCCCTTTATCCAGATGATCAAGCCACGTTGAGTCTTAGAGAATCTAACGGTGAAGGTGCTGTTGCCAGAGGAGTTGTTAAGAGACACAGCAAGTTAGAGAAAATGGAAGCAAATTTGGCTAAAATCAGGTCTTCCATAAGAGAAGCTGCTCGAGTTCGGAACTTAACATCAATCTATGAGGATCCCGACTATGTGCCCAAAGGTCCAATATATAGGAATGCGAATGCTTTTCATCGGTATAAATATAGATGAATTCACTTCCGACTTCCTTCTCTTAATTTCTTGGTAATTAATCAAAGCCTGACAATATTTTGAATTGGTTTTAGGAGTTACTTGGAGATGGAGAAGCTGTTCAAAATATACATATACAAAGAAGGTGATCCTCCCATGTTTCATGACGGTCCATGCAAGAGTATATATTCCTCAGAAGGGAGGTTCATTCATGAATTAGAGAAGGGAAAATCATTTACAACTACAGACCCTGACAAGGCTCTTGTTTATTTTCTGCCATTTAGTGTGGTCATGTTGGTTCAGTACCTATACGTGCCAGGATCCCATGAGATTGATGCCATTGGGAATACTGTTGTAGACTACATCAAAGTCATTGCTGATAAATATCCCTTTTGGAATCGAAGCCTTGGTGCAGATCATTTCATTCTCTCTTGCCATGACTGGGTAAGCGATCTCTTCTTTCAAGTAGCCTTCTCACCCCGCAAGAGTAAAAATCCAAGTTACTAGCTTGATTTATAAGATATTATGGGAATGATTGATCATCGAATACTCTTTCAAGTAGCCTTCTCACCCCGCAAGAGTAAAAATCCAAGTTACTAGCTTGATTTATAAGATATTATGGGAATGATTGATCATCGAATACTCTTTCAAGTAGCCTTCTCCCCCCGCAAGAGTAAAAATCCAAGTTACTAGCTTGATTTATAAGATATTATGGGAATGATTGATCATCGAATACTCTTTTCATTTTCTTTGAGGCCATAACTGGAATATTCCTGCTTTCTTTGAGCTGAAAAGCATATCATGCCTTTTTCATCGATTAATTGTCTTTTTGTTTACAGGGACCACGTACTTCTTCTTACGTCCCCCATCTGTTTAACAATTCCATCAGAGTCCTATGTAATGCAAATACTTCTGAAGGATTCAACCCTAAAAAGGATGCCTCGTTTCCAGAAATCCATCTAAGAACAGGAGAAATCACAGGGCTTGTCGGTGGTCCCTCCCCATCTCGGCGATCAATTCTTGCATTCTTCGCTGGCCGTCTTCATGGGCACATTAGGCGTCTTCTTCTTGAGCAATGGAAGGATAAAGACCAAGATATGCAAGTCCACGACCAACTTCGAAATGGCATGTCATATGACTCCATGTTAAAAAACAGCAGGTTTTGCTTATGCCCTAGTGGGTATGAAGTGGCTAGCCCAAGGATTGTGGAAGCTATATATGCAGAATGTGTTCCTGTGTTGATTTCAGATGGTTATGTACCGCCATTCAGTGATGTGCTTAATTGGAAGGCATTTTCTATACAAGTGCAGGTGAAAGACATTCCAAAACTCAAAGACATATTAATGGGGATATCTCAAAGACAATATTTGAGAATGCAAAGAAGAGTGAAGCAGGTGCAAAGGCATTTTGTTGTGAATGGACTTCCCAAGAGATTTGATGAGTTCCACATGACTATCCACTCTATTTGGCTTCGGAGGTTGAACATTCGAATTCATGATTAAATATTTTTTAAAAAAGAAGATATCTTTAAGTAGACTTACAATCAATTAATTAATCTTTTTCTTTTTAGAAAAAATTATTCCTTTCTTTTTTTTTGCAATGTATACATGCAGCTAATTGATAAGCTCCATAAATTTTCGAATAAAAAAAGTAATTTTTACAATTGATGAAGATGAATGAACAATTAATTGAATTCTAATGAATTAAACTTTAAGAATTAACTTCCACGTGTCAAACTAAAATCCCCATCAAACAAATATAGTTTTGTTAATATTTTTTATCTTGATATCAACCCAACTCATATATATATATATATATATATATATATATATTCAAAGAATATCACCAACTATATTTGATGAAAGGATCATATTTATACATGATAACTTTAAAAAGTAGTTAGGGATAATATTAAGATAAAAAAAATAAATGTTTATTTGATATATGGTAAAGTGTTTGTGTTTATACGAGAGTGCATATGTGTTAAAAAGATATTAATTTGATTTTTTTAGGTTTAAATATGTGTTAAAGATCTCTTTCAAATGCAAATTGGAGTATAAAATAGAGTTATAAAAATGAAATCGAAACCATAAAATAGTAAATGGATCCAAGTAACTCAAAGCTAAAAGTAGATGGACCAAAAATAAAGGGACCAAATACATACTTGCCTATATGGTTAACCTATGACTGGTTGACTTTCAAAACACTAGAGCCATTTATTAGGCAAGTATTTAATATTCATAATAGACTTAACTAAACTTAGGTATACCCAAATCAATAGGCTTACTAAGATTGATTCCTCTATAGTCTCATGTGGTGAATTAAACTTGCTTGATAATTTCTCAAAATGAATTGGCTATAATTTTGCATTGTCATGGTAAGAACCAACAAATCGATGTTTTAAAATTAGAGATCAAGGTTTATTATTTTTAAGGTGTTTTTTTTTATTACTTTAAGCAAAACTTGCTCGTTATAATTAATTTGCAATTATTCATCTTGGTTAGACTCAGATGAGGGAGAATATGCTAATAAAAATTAGTGATGAATAGGTTTGATGGGTCTAGGCTTAACAACCTTGTCCAACTCATCATAAATAGGTTCCACCACCCTTATGCATAAACCATGAGGTATGGCCTATGAACCCATTTTCCTACAGTTTTATAAACCATATATCTTATTCGAGTTTATCATACTCAAACAAGGGATGACCGGGAAGAATAAATAACTAGCTTTGACTAATATCATTTTAAGTGGATAACTAAGATGAACAAATAATTAGCTATGACTAATAGCATCCAAAGTGGATGACCAAGATGAATAAATGATTAATCTTGGCTAATGACATCCTAAATGGATGACTAAGATGAATAAATGATTAACTTAAACTAATAACATTCTAAATGGATGACCGAGATGAGTAACTGATTGGCTTTGACTAATGGTATCTTAAGAGGATAGGCAGATACAAGAGTTATAAGTTAGTTTCAAGAATTGATGTGTTCTTGTGTACTATGTTTTGTATATACTAAGTATATAAGAGAACTATGATTATTATGCTTTAACTAGAGAATAACATTAGTTTGCTTAACGGTAATCGAGATGAATGATCGGGTTTGAGTATTGTAACTAGCCTTGATAATTGATGACTTATTAATGATGGTATTTATATAAGTAAGGGAAAATGATAGAATTACGCTCTTTTGATCTATGAATGAAATGTAATGTTAGTATTGCTTTATTATGTGTTTTTAAATTGCCCATAATGCTTGAAATTATCTTATGATATAATAGGGATATCATACTGACACGACTAAAAGATTGATGTCTTCTCCCAAGTGCAGGAGTGTTGAAGTAATAAATAACCCGGCAAGATCGGGGTCGAACCACAGGGAGGTTAATTGTACAAATTATAAACAACAATTATAAACAACAATAATACCAATAATAATAACAACAACAACAACAACAATAATAACAACAACTATAATAATAATAATAATAATAATAATAATAATAATAATAATAATAATAATAATAGCAGTAGTAGTAGTAATAATAATAATAATAATAATAATAATAATAATAATAAAGAAAGAGAAGAAGAAGAAGATGATGAGAACTTGGAGATGGAAAATTAATGTAAGGATTAAATAATAATAATAACAAATGTCAAGGTTAGAGGTTCCACTAATGGTATGTCAAACAAGTGTAGTATAAACTCTTATTATTCGATTAATGCTAGTTCTTGTAAATCTCGTCAAGCATTCATGATTATAACTTATGTTAACAACAAATCAAGTTCCTTTCATAGCTCAGGTGTCGGTTATACCATACAGTATGGGCTATGAAAGTGCCAAGCATTTGTTGTACCAAGTGTTATACAACATAAATCAAGATTAGTCATTTAACAAGCAAAGTATTAAAGAGTGAACAAGATAACAAATATAAAACATGTTAGTATAAAACATTAAAGTCCATATTAAGTTTATACTATACTTATTCTTACACCATTAGTGTAACCTTTTTACCTTGACATAATGAAGGAAAGAAAAATAAATAAACAAAATAAGAACATAAATAAGATAAAAGTTAACTAAGTAAAGGAAAGAAAATGAAAGGCATAAACTTGATATTAATGAAAGCAAAGCATAAACATTATAAAAAATACAAAGAAAGAAAGCAAGAGCATGATCTTGATCTGGAGACCAAGATGCCTAAATGCATGGCAAATGCCTCCTTTTATAGGCCAAAATTGGGAACTATTGATTTGATGACTAATTGATGAGTGGGTGGCCAACTCTTGACTTGGTGACAATCCTTATCTTCTCTTGTATGCCCAAAACGTCATTGATAACATCAAAATTAGAGCCACTCAAACACATGAAAGTTGTAGGAAATTGTCTCAGCTTTCTTGTGTAAAAAATGCAACTGATTTGGACTTCTAGAACTCCAGATATGGCTAAACTACTGAACAGTGCTCGGGCTGGAGGACAGCTTCGGGCTTCTTTTTTGTTGCAATAATTTGGACTTGAAAATGGCCTTTTTAGATCTTGGGCTCCATATGAAAGTTGTAGGCCTATGTCTTACCTTTCCATCCATATAAAGGAGACCTAAATCTGAGATCTATAGTTCCAGATATGACCTAATTATCAAATAGTGTTCCGGTTTGGATTGCATTGACATCTCTTTTCTAATTTTGGTCATCTCTTTACCTTTGCAATTTAAGTTCTTAAAGTCATCAATCAATCCTTTCATTTATGTGATAGGCCTGCATTTAAAATGAACATTTACCACAAATTAAAGGTATCTTATATTATTAGATATATTATTATAAAACATGCTTTAGTTAAGGAGTTATTGATACTTTAAGTGCAAAATGATGATATAAAACCATGATAAAAATACACTTTTAAGTACTAATCACACCCCCCCAACCAGCTTATTACTAGTCTCTAGTAATCAAAGCGTTAAAATAGAAAAACAATTTGCAAATTCCACAAAGCAAGGTATTCATCATTGAACTTCCATTAATCTATCCAGATAAACAAACTCTCATTAAATTTATATATCTGCTCAATACCTCTTAACAAGATATTCATAAACCTTTCTTTTGTGCTTAATGTATCAACACATAATTATGGTGCTTTTCTTGGAAGAAAACAAAATTTTTGTTCTAATGTTTAAGGTTAACTTCCTTGGGTTAGGATTATTATTTTTTTCTTCTTCTTTTTTTAAATATATACATATAATTTAAAAACACCATGTAACTTTAACCCATGTAACAAGCGTTCAGCTAATGACTCCTAGACTAGTTGGTCTTGGGGCATTAGGTGTTAAGACACCCCTACGAGCTTAGTAACTCGGGTTACAGATACTGATATGTAAATAGTGCAATGTTTGATTCCCTTAAGCTTTTCCCCTCAACCCATGTAACAAGTGTTGGGCCAATAGCTCCCCAGTCAGTTGACTTTAGGGTATTTGGTGTTAAAACACCCCTTCGGGCTTAATTGCTTAGGTTAGGGAGGCTACGAAACCAAACTTATCTACATTTTTATTATCATTATTTTTTTTTCTTTTAATTATATACTATCCCTTTTCCTTAGGTGTTACCTTTAACAAAAGAACATAAATAATGTAATAATCCAATATGTAACCCATAATCATATGTTAAAGTGTGTGTGTGTAAATTAAGGTTTAAGAATACATGTTAAATAAGTATATGAGCAGAATTAAGTGATAATAATGTGAGAGTTTGTAAACCTGAATATTTCAAAAAGTATTATAATAGACCTTGTTAAGAATGGTTACTAAGATGCGTCTCGAAAGTCACTTTAACAAAAGAGCTCCTTTACTCTGTCATCCTAGTAACAACAATTATGCACATGCTTTATGAAATGGAAAACAGTTTTTTTTTTTTATCAACTACTACCCTCTCCCCCCAACCAAAACGAGACATTGTCCTCAATGTTCTAAGGTAGAAAGATAGAGTATAGAAGATATCACCTGAAATAACGAACATTAACAAACCTGAAACACACTTAAACAAAAATAAGAAGTAACAAAACACAATAATAAAACAAAACAGCACAAAAATTACAAATGAAGACTCAAATCTAATTTAAGCTTTTTACGGCTTTCCTTAGATGACCAATTTATGCGATTCATGGAGGGATCAATTACAGGAATGAAAGATTGTAGTTGGTCAATCAATTGTTCAGTAGTAGCAGCAGAGATTATGATTTGTCGTGCAGAAGATGTTAGAAATTCCTGTTCCACAACATGATCAAGAAAAGACAACAACTTATCATAATAACCATTAACATTTAACAAACCTATGGGTTTATGGTGAATATGCAGTTGAGCCCAAGAGGAAATATGAAAGATCTCTTCCAATGTACCTAGACCACCTGGTAAAGCAATGAAAGCATCAGCATGGTTAAACATTGCATTCATTTGAGCCGACATTGTGGAGACCTGAAGTTCCTCTCCAATTGTTTTTCCAATGATG